TTGATGCCGAATGATGCTGAATTGAGATCAATTTTAGGCTGATTTATGGTTATTTAAGTTCTGAATTGATGCCGAATAATGCTATATTGAGGTCAATTTTAAGCCGATTTATGTTATTTAAGTTTCGAATTAATGCTGAATGATGCTGAGTTAAGGTCAATTTTAGGCTGATTTATGGTTGAATTTAAGTTCTGAATAGCCATGTCTGATTGGGGTCGATCGGCATCTATCGACACCTGTTTGTGCCGATCAGAAAATATGGCAAATTAGTCATAAATAGTATCAAAATCGGCCTAAAATCGGCTATCTGATTTTAGCCGATTTGGACTATTTCGATTAGTGTTGGGATTTTTATTTTTACTTGGACTTTTTCTTAGAATTTTTCTTCGTTGGTGATTTGCTGAGTTGGATTGGTAATTGTCGATCATTTGTAAATAAAATTATATACTTAGTGGCTTGATAATATCAATTTGATCTTCAAATATGATGAACTAATCTCTTTTTATATCAATAAAGTTTATTGAAATCTAATATTTAAGAAATCTACCATGAGAAAATTACTGAACACAAATCTTAAATTAATTTTTGATCAACTGATTATGTCATTTAACTTTTCTTAATATATAACCCATATAAATATTGCAAGTAGTTTCTTTTTCAGGAAAACTAACATTTTTATATTCCTTGATTCTCATACATGCATTTTGTTGAACTTTTAAAATTACGTAATTTACAAAAATTTCCTGAATTCTGTACTAAATAAAGAAATGTTGATCAAAAATGTATTATGCAAATATTGCGTGATTATCTAATTTAGTAATGTTGATCAACTACGCCAATTTTAAACAGGTTTTTATTCCATAAATTTCCATGCAATAATCATTATCTAATGTAATCCAATGGATTTTTGTTTATTTTCTGTAAGAAAATAATTTTTACGATCTTGAGAATTTTTCATAGCCACTTCTTTTGATTATAAATATTTATCTGAATTCCTTCTATTTTTCTCAAAAATTTTTCTTTCTTCCCAAAATTATTATAAAATTTTAAATTTCTTCTTTTCAATATATATATATTTTTTTTTTTTCAACATTGGCAAAAGTTTCTGCAAACAATTTTTCTCATGCCACTAATATAACCTTCGAAATCAAGAAGAAGAGACAAGACAACAAAGAATAGATAAATTTGATATTGAAAATCACAGGCTTCAATAACTATTAAATTCCTCTTTGTCCTAAGTAGATAGTTTATCTAACGAAATTTGTCATTTATCTTCCCATTTATCTCGCAATTGGCATCGATATCGAGATCTTGAAGTAGAATATGAGAGCCTTTTATTTCAATACAATTGTGCAAAAGCTGATATTAATCACCTTCAAAGTTATGAAGATGTCCAATCAGTCTAAAATCTCTAGAATAATTTAGATCAAATCTAAAGAAACTTTAGAAGAATATTGAAGCAACTTCGTCAGAGAAGTAAAGAATTTAATTTTTCTTATCATGTGCCTCTTAATGATTAATTTTCTACTAAATATCTTTTCAGGGAGAGATGTTGTTTGCATTTTGCCTATCATAGAATTACACTTTGCCATTACCTTTTGGCCGTTCTATAGACTACGCTCTCTCTCTTTATCTTTTATAGCTAGTAATAGTTGTCATAGGTAGTTTCTTACAAATGTATTTTCTTTTTCTCTTCTATATTGATGTATTTTATTATCTTTCTATTTTTAATAAAATTTTACATATTGTTGTATCTTTGCCCTTTTACTTCTTCTAGTAACAATTCATATTTCATCATTCCTATTTTCACTTAAAATTTTCTTTTTATCGTCAAATCATATTGTTTTAGGCTTATCACATATTTGTGTAAAATTGGTTTTAACATCTGCTGTAGTCTGTATGATACTTCCTTAGTATAGTCAAATAAACTTTGGAGTTTGGTGATACCAGTACTCAGATTCGATTCAAATTAGTCTTTTATGTATTATAGTGTATAAGGTTCAATTTCTCACATAATCATCTTTAATTCTTCGCTAAAATTTTCTTTACATCCTTTTCGTAATTCATCATATGTCATTATTTCACATAATCAAAATAATTTAATCAATTTTTCAAAATAAATATCCCATTTTATTTTCAAAGATTTTTGAATTCAAAGTGTTTCATGTTCTATTTCTCAAAATAAATAATTGCATTTCTTCAATTATTTCAGCATCTAGTGGTCCAATTAGAATAAAATTTATACCATTGTGAAGCTCTTAACTTGGTGAATACGTTGATATTAATATTTCGAATTTCTGATTAGTAGATCACGAGAAAATCACCTCCGGGATTTTGTTATTTTTCATAAAAGCATTTGAAAATTAGTGGCGCAATAATTTTGTTCATTATAGGTTGAACTTCGTTTTCTTATTAACTAATTTTCAATTTCATTTTAATAGTCTCAGGATTTTATCATAATTTATGTAAATTATAGTATCACAAGATTATGTTGGTTCATCATCTGCGTTAGATTCATTATCTTTTACAAAGGTGTTTTAATGAACTTGAATTATCTCTTCAAGGATTTCTTTAATTCTTTAACATTTGATATCCTTTTCAAGGTCTTTAGAAAATGGTTTTTTCATATTTTTATCATCTTCTTTTCCTCTTGTGTTTCCTTTTTCAGACATTTCATTAAATGATGCCATATCATACAATATATCACGTGATTTGACTTCTTCAATTTTACAAGTTTTTTGCATTATAATCATTCAAATAAAATTCATTTCACAATTAAAGGCTTGCTTTAATATTACTTAAGCTGCTTCTTTATAGAGTTTCCATTTTTATCATATTTTTTAACTGCTGAATTGATAAATTCTGTAATACCAGCTTATGTAATACTAAGTTATAAAATATGTATTTAAGTTTCCAATACAATATATAATTCTAACTAAATTATCAATCAATCTATAATTCAACCAGTTGAATCGACTTAAGAATTCAATAATATTT